TCAATTTTCATCTGCAGTTTCGAGCCTGTCTTGGTATTTTGCCTACAGTTTTACACAGGTATGTTGTAAAAACATTTTTAACGCTTCAGTTTATTCAGAATTTGACGGGCTATTGATTGAACTGCTTTGGATTGGATATCGTGGTGTCTGAAGTCCTGAAGATTTTCTGGAAAACCTGGTTTTCCGGAGATCCTTTAAGCCTATAGGCCATAAATTCTTTCATTGGAATTTGATAGATCTCGTCGAGTTCTTTCATTTGAGACCAAAATGAACGCTCTAGCTCATGGATAAGGGGTCGAAAAGGATCTGCAATAGAGGCCTTTTTGGCTGGGAAAACCTCTTTAACGCTGAAAAAGTATTTTCCCTGTAACTTGTTTTTCGACAACGCTAGAGACCTGTGGTTATCACCATTGGATTCAGCGTCCAAAACTGCATCTAATGAGGTGTATCTCACAGCTGGCGCCTACCTTTTTGTATAACTTGGTAGGTTCTTAATGGAAATACCCAACTGACAACTCTTTGACTGAAAATTGTTGTATTGGGTTAATGCAAAAGTATCCGGCGATTTTTTTGAAAAATGTTTACAATCATCTAACAGTAGAATACATGTTCTACATGGCATGTTCTACACGGGACGAGTGTTTCGCTGTCTCACAACCTTTGGTCTGTACTCAAGATTTGTCAAGATCAAGAAAACAGATGCGTTGAGTCCAATCGATATCACTCGATTCGGTCCAATTCAACTCCGACTTCGTCAGAAAACATTGCAAATTCGAGAACAGAGTTTGTTTTTTCTTTTCTCTGAGATTATCATGTACAAAGGAAAAGGACATGGGTGGAATCAACGTGATAAACTGAATCGAAGAAGAGAACTTTAATTTCAGCTACATCTAGCGCTCATGGAACCTCTCAGAGGTCGATATAAATGAAGCAATTCAAGCAAGTGTCGCCAATGTCTAAAATGACTTTATTTGGATGTAAGCGATTTTAACAAACCAGGGATCCCATTCTTTCTGATTCCAGAACCAGCCTTTTAGTCTTGAAAAATCGATGTAACACAAAAAACAGAACATTTGAATTAACTTGATTAGCATATTGGCAGAAAGAAAAAAATGTTTTTTGTACATCTTTGTCATACATTTAAAAAACCCGGTTTATCGAAAACCCAAAAAATTCTTTCTGAAACTTTTCCAAGAATCTTTGAAGATCTATTTTCAAAGTTTTTTGGTGAGTTTTGTTGGACTCAAAATACTGATTTTTTACGATTTTCATTTTTTTCTCCTCAAATATTCTCTTTGTTGAAGAGAAGAGTCTGTGGTGAAAAAATGTGTGAATGTTTGTTGCCTTGGTGAATTGTCCGTAAGGCACATGTTCGCAACCGAAGTACGGCAAATCGGGAATGTAGATTTGCGGTGGATGACCTCTAAAATATATCCTAGAAATTTCTGCGGGTGAGATCTCGAATCTGGTATTCCTTTCGAAATTTAGAGTACAGTTGCAATTCTCTACATAATTTCATTGATAGTCTAATGTTCTGAATGTGAATGATCTTAAATGAGAGTATGTTCTCTCATTAGAACTGCCAGTACCAATGCAATCAAACAGAATATCCATCCGATGAGACCAAGTGCTGAAGCTGCTCCCATTGTCCAAGGACTTCGCACGAACTGAGACATACCAATCGCCCATCCAATTAATCCAAATAGAAATGCTGCAAGAGCTGAAAATAAAAACGCAACAAAAACAGTCAGTAATTCATAAGAATTCGAGTGCTCTTTCAGATCAGGTCCTACCTAGGGCCACTGACGCAAGATATAAAACTTTTGGATATGTTGCTTTGAATGTTATATAGAGAAGTAAAACACCAGCTATAACTAAACGTTATAAACAAGAAGGCAGTATAAACCTGCGAGTTGCAGAGATTCTATTCCACTTACAAGCTACAATTGTTGCCATAACAAAAAATGCACGTGCAGCTTTGATCTTATTACAGGCAGTATCACCATTACAATTTTCAACCAAATTATCACTCCATAGACCAGTTGCACCAACTGTTATTGAACCCACCTTAGCAACGCCATAGCTTGGATCAGCTTGAGCCACAACATAGAATATAAACGCTATTAATCTGAAATTAATAAAAACAGAGTCCGATAGAAAAGCACATTACTGTACTACTTATGTGCGACTTACAAAAGTGCTCCAGTAATTGCACCAAACGCAGTTTGTTTCAACATCATTGGTTGACTTTCTCTATCAATTTGATTTAGCTAACCAATGTTTACGGAATCTGAAAATATAAATCGTTCAGAAAGGTGTTGATTGTGTGCCATCCACTAATTATTATTTCCCCCTAGTATTAACCCTTTACCCCCGATAGCGGTTCCAGAAGAGCCACTGATAAAATTACCATAATAATAGAGTATTACTCCCTCCAATATGCCATTGATATGGGCAGATCGACTGAATGCTCAGTCTTTCGCCCAGGGTAGTTTGGTCACTCCAGTGACCATTCGGGGGAACGACATGAAAAGTGACTTTTTTCGTTATTGGTCCTTATCAGACATGGATGAGACAGTCTCAGTCCCGGTCCCGGAACCAATATTTCTTTTCTGGAAAGGACCGTGATCAGAACCGATGCTGAAAACGGTTGTTCGCCTCATATTTATGTTAAGTTCATATACAGACAGTGGCGGGACAGGATGGCCTCTGTCCTAGTCTTATTAAAAACATTTATGCTTTAATATAGAATAAACTTTTCCTTGTTAGACAGTTTTTCTAAGCAGAGGTGATCTAATTCCGCAATATTTATTAGACGGCAAATAAAAACATTTCTCGTCATTTCTTCTCTAAATGAAGTGTTGTGATTAACTGATTTGAGCTAAAACCAGACAAGATGAGTGCACAATACGTCACATCTCCGCTTCTTGGTGAACGAACCTCAAAAAAGCGTTGATGGGAGAAAAGTCTAAATAAGCATCAATAATTCAAAAGAATAAGACCTGATGCGAACTTACTTTCTCTGTTTATTCGGAAAAAACAAAAAATGTCTAGCAAGAAAAGAAAACAATGAACAATGAGAAAAACGAAAATAAGAGAAAAAATTAAGAAAACGTGTCATCAAACAATGCAGCAGATGTAAGTAACGAAAAAAGAGAAGAACGCGGCAGAGACTCTGGCCTAGAAGTTAGACAACTTCATTTCACAGAGCAACAACCATTAACCCTTTCAGGCTCGCCGTAAAGAATATTGTACACTTTTCGAAGTTTCGTAATCTTTGAATAACTTTCGAGCGCAAAAAGATATCGAGAAGCGGTTTTCTCTATGACATAGAAGAGACTTCAGCGCATATATCTATATAAGGTTTATAACTCTAATGAGGTCACTCACGTAATTTTTGACCCACATTCGTACTTCCCCACGGGAATGACCAAAGTACCTCTTGACATCCCTGTAGGTGGTACGGGTATCGGCCGACAATGACTTGAAAGATTTTTAAAAAGTTTGACTAAAAATATCAATAATACACGTTGTCCATATTAAATATCGAATCTCAAAGAAATTTCATCCATTCGCTGAGCCATGGGCCTGAAAGGGTAAAAGACTGTTTCTGAGAATGTTTCCACAGAGAAAACAGGAAACCAAGACAGAAATTAACTTAAAGACGAACAAACACAAATCAAAGCAAATTTTTATAGTTAAAACCGAGATTTTCTAAAGATATTCAGAAAAGATCTCTTCAAAAGAAGAATCTTGAAAGACACTTTTAGCAGTAATCAGATCTAACTATGGATTTTGCTTCTTCTTTAAGTTATGAAAGTGCAGAAACAGGCTTCTATCCATGAACAGACTTATTTGAACTTAAACATCAAATATTCACTCAATCTGACACACATCTGGTGAGGAGTTGATATTTCGAATCACGAGAAAATATCCCGGGAAACATTTTCTTGACCTCGTTGTTTATACCTAGTGAAAGGACATTCTACACATCATTGAGAAGAAAGTTTTTAAGAAAATTGAAAATAACTCAAAGAAGTGCCTTCTTTTCGTACTCACACGTTCTACTTATAAAACCATCTAGCAGCACGTGACATGAGAAAAATTTCATCGTAAAATTTACCTCTGTTCACTCTCACTACATCAACAATGATATTGTTTTATATCATATTATTAAACATTATAATAAAACATGGTAACTTGTCAACTTCTAAAAAATCTTTTTTTTTTGTATCATTTTGTTATTCTCTCTCTTAATCATAAAAATCCTCACGCTCTTTCTCATTTTGTTTATATCATAATTTATGATATCATATTTATGATGATAATCTGTTGCTCTTAAAATGGGAATACATGTCTTACTCCAAAATTGAGAGTAGACGTCTTACTTTGAAAATGGGAATAAGCGCCTTACTTTGAAACTGAGAGTAAGCCTTTATACTCTAAAATGAGAATAATTGTCTTACTCTGAAAATACAAGTAAGCGCGTTACTCCGTAGGATATTCTCGTAACTCAAAGGGCTAAGTTTCGGAGTAAGAAAATCCTAATTTCGGAGTAAATTTTTTCAAAAGCAGGGAAGAATCCCTCCTCTCCATCCCCTTATCCGGGCGCCCCTGATCATAAAAAGGCAGATAGCAGAAAAACAGATCATTACTTTTTTTCTTCAGTTCTTATTAAAACTCTTTTCTATCTGTATTTTCACAGGTGCTAGAGAAAGAGTATTTTCTTAGGACGAAACGAACTTGTATAGAAAGAAAGAAACATAATTAGTACGAAAAAAATTTTGTTCTGTTAGTGGTATCACAAATTGTGGCTTTATTGACGAAGAATGTTCCGCTTCTTTTGTAAACTTACACATTAATCGAACCGCTTGCAAAACAAAAAACTCTTCTCAACGCTGCTTTCTCTGCATCTTTTCTCTCCTTGGATAAAAATAAATTTTGAGAATATTTACGTATAACAGAAAAGGTTGACTAAAAATTCTATTTGATTAAGTTAATATTTTATCGTTTCCCTCTTTTCTCTTTTTCCAATATTATTCACTTTCACTCTTTTATCTCACTACAGAAATAAAAAATATTCTTCTATTTGTCTTTGTCTTATCTCTCTTTCTCAATGAGATCGTAAATTATATGGTGAATTTGATATGTGCCCAAGATACAAAACGAATAGCAGGACGGAACAAGTAGAAAATTTTTCTGTTCTTCGCGTACATATGTAATAAATAATCAATGGGAGGGAGGCGAAGGGCAGTGAAATCGTATATCAATAGAGTAGAGAAAAAGAATATGATAATTTTATAAGTGTGAAGAGAGGAATAACGAATAAATACAGTATTCAAGCTCTGTATCATTTTTATAGAATAATGCAAACTTTGTCGCTTACAAGAGAACTACACTAATTGGAAGGATATCTGCCAGATGCACACACAGACAACCATTTTGTAAGATCCTAGACTAAAGTCAAGGGAACAAGGTCAAAGTTGCTTCGTTCTCAGAGAGGTTAAAACTTGATATCCCTAAACGGGCATGTAGATTATGACTTTTTGAATGAACAAATGAGCAATTCCATGTAACTCTCTATGCTCTATACGACAGAAATGTCCAAATTTTCGCGGCTGTTATGTCTGTATAAAGTGAACAAACCTGAATGGACATACCAAGCTAAGAACTTATGTGGACATCCACTGAATGTCCGAGGGGAGGCTCTAAGTATTTCTGATCAATTCGCCATGATAGACTATCTATGTTCTGTAAGTTTTCTGATCCATAGATCATTTTTTTTGGGCTATCACAATTGACTGATTTATGGCGACATCTATATCCCAACTATAGAAATATTTGCTTAGTTTTTCTTTCGTTTTCCATTAGTAATTATTTTTCTGTCACCGCTTGAACGTTTTCTCTCTTGTGTAAAAAATAATTTTATACTTTTCTTTCTCGTGCATGTGGCTGATCAATGGAATCATCAAATAATGCGATGGGCAAAAGAAAGTTCACACGGGAGTGTTATTGCTGGTGGAAATGGTGGAGGAGGACAGTCGAATCAATTAAATGATCCCCTTGGTATATCACTCGATCGACACGGCAATCTCTATGTGATCGATCAGGCGAATCCTCGAGTACACAAATTTCAAATTGAGCAGACAACAAAATAATGATGTTTATTTGTGTGTGGTTGAAAATGATTTGCATTCAATAAAAGGATATTTATTCTCGATGAATAAATCACGAAATATATTAGATATTTGCGCGCGCGACCAGAAAACCGTCCCTGGTGGTAGGAGTGGAGGCCGCGTGGCCATGCACGAACAAGCAAGTCCACATGGATATGCATGAACAAATATCGTGTGGACTCGATAGGGGCTCGTCGTGTTGCCACTTCCACCAGTTAAGTTTTCTGGTTTTGACAATTATGAAAATATATTTGCGTCTGACGAATGAAATCATCAAATTCAGAAGTTCCTTTTGGCAGCTAACTCATGCAGTAAGTATTAAAATATTTATGTGTTTATCAAAGTCTCCTAGGTTAATTAAAAATTCGCT